TGGCCCTAAACCTAAGACTCCATATTCCTTCTGCCAGAAAGGGTTAATTAACTCACATCCACCTTACTTTAACATTTCTTGACTTGAGCTCCACTTCTCTATTTCTAGTGTCACTACTTTCACTTAGACTGCCTCCAATCTCCTCTTGAAAACTCCTGGATCCACATGACTACATAGGCCAGAGGGCTTATTCCAGAACACACCTCTGGTCACTGCTGTTTCCTTCCATGGATAATCCTAGAATTTAATTTGCAATTTGAACTCTTTAGCAGAGTGCTATAAACTGACTTGGGTCCCCCCTGCCCCAAGTTTATATGTTGAAGCCTTAAATCCCCAGTGTAACTGTATTTGGAGATAGGTCCCATAAGCAGGTAATTAAGAATTAAGGATAAATGAGATCATAAGGGTGAAGCCCTGATTCACTAGTGGATTAGTGTCCTAAAGGAAGAGATACTAGAGTTCTCTCTTTCTCTCAAATTACAGCCATGATACTATGGTTGCAGGTTGTTGAAAAGATTAATTGTAAACTCGTTAGTGATTATGGATAGTATGTAAAAAATGCTCGTTGAAAGCCGGCTCATTCCAAATAAAATCTAATCATCCTTCAAGGGTCAATGCAATTCTACCTGTGCGATGAAGTCTGTATAAAGATCCATAGGCAGAACTGATTGATCCCGCCCCTCCCCTTTGGCAGACTTTGATTTTAGCTCAGTTGTAGCATTTATCAGAGTCTTCCTAACATTAGAGTGACTTATGCATGGATCTGCTTCCTCTCCCCTGGCGATAAGCCCTGGTGGGAAGGACCCAGCGTTTTCCATCTTGCATTATTGGCATGTACTGCATGAGAAAGACAATAATGAAGTCGGTTCTGTGTACTGTGCTATATTATCTCTAACAGATTTTAGATTTTTCAGAATATTCTTCACAATTTTTGTTTTGTTATATAATTGACGTAACATCATATCAGTTTCAGGTGTACAACATCATGATTCAATATATATACATATCGTGAAATGATCACCACAGCGAGTCTAGTTAACATCCATCACCACACATAGCTACAATTTTTTTGTGTGTGAGAACTTTTACGATCGACTCTCTTAGCAACTTTCAATTCATCAATCATTTTTCAAATGTCAACTAGAGCTGTTAATCTGCTCCAGTCTTCCCATTTCTGAGTTCTTTCATCTTTTATTGATTGGGGTTGACCGATAGGCTATAAATCCTAGTTAAGGGTTAACTTTTGGCTTGAAATGGGATTTGAACTCAAATATGAGATTGACTTTGTCAATCCAGTCAGCAAGCACATAAGAAAAATCATATCCTTCTGCCTCCTCCAAGCTCCCGGTCTCCCTCTAGGGCCCACTATTGTCTGAACCTAACAAGAAGCCCGATGGGAAAGGAGAAATGCTATCTGTGGAGTCCCTATCAGAGCATTAGAAAGCACAACATAAAGAGAGGTTTTAGCTGAGAGACAATTACTGGCACACCGATAATTAAGAATGAAGTGCACGAACCTTCTATATTGCATAGTCTCGAGCTGGTTCAGTTTCGATCCAATGCCTTCCATCCATGAGTGAGTGAAGCTTTCACTGGTGCTGTACCAGTTAGAGGATGTTAGAAAACGCCAATTTAGGTATCAAGCAGGTAGGGCCTTTGCTTCTAAAGAAGAGTGCACGTTCTCCAAAATGGGTTTAAGAGTTTGACTTTAAAGAAACTACTTTAAAATAAAAGAAGAAGGTGGGAATAAGGAAGGGTTCTGGAAAGTCCAATTAAATCCTGGGGAGATTGGATTTCTGCTGCGTGAAGGCAAAAGTGGTGTGAATTCCAGCTTAAGTGCCATTCCAGAATGAAAAATGGCTCTTATGCCAGAAAACTGACTGGTACTAACGTTCCTCTAATTAGAACAGCACTGAGTGCTGGAGGACAGTCCTGACAATGAAGCGTGTTAGTTTGATAAATGAATTACTTGCACTACTCTGCTGACTCCCAGACACAACGCTCAAGGTGGCCTCGGCTAGTAAACAGGGGTGGAAAGCATACCCTCACAGTTTCTTCATGCCTGAAAAACAAGTAATTTAGCAGAGGACATCTGGACACAAAATTTGAACAGAGCTCAGCGCCCATCAAAACATGAATTTCATGGCTTGGCGTCTGGCTGCTAAGCAACGGATTTCTGACATCAAAACAGAGTTGTAAAAGTAGGATCCTGGTGCCAACTCTGGGTATTTCTCATTGAAAAAAAAATAGCTGTGAACACTTTTCTTTAGGTCTTAAGGTATCTGATTTCCATGGGATAGAAGAGCTCAGATCATTTCTCCTCTAGCCCAGAATGTGTTTTCCACATTCTGAAGTATTAGGTGGAGATTAACTTTACATTTTTAAGTACTCTCAAGTGGATGCTGCTAAGGGTCTTAGAGTATTTCTCTCAGCCCCTTTAATTAATAGCACTCTTTTAAATTAGGTGCATGTATTCATAACACACATGCTTTTCAAATATTTGGTTCTCATCAAGTTTGATGTATATACCAGAAGGCCAGCCACAATCTAAATGACAACTGCCTTACTAAAGGTGTGTTTCTGCTTGGCGAGGGGACCAGGGAGGGCCTGTGCAAAATACTTTCCATGTGTAGACTAGTTTGAGAAATAAATGTTGTTATAATACTTATTAACATGAAGATAGGCTGTTAATTCATTTCTCCCTTGCATTTATCTATTTAAAATACACTGATAGGTTTCAGAGCTTGGAAAATAGGAAATGTTAGCTATCCAAACTAAAAACAAATCCAGGAGAAGCAACAGACATCATTTAGAATCACTGACTAGTTTTCCGTTTTACAGGGAAGCAATTAGGAAAATTGTGGGGCAGGAGGTAAGAGGTCTCCTATTAATTTTTATTTATTTAAAAAATTATGGAATGTGCATTTGCATTCAAAAATGAAAGCGAAGCATTAAAATGACCTACTCTTTGGAGCAGTTTGCCTACAAAAGTATTTTTTCCTCTGTCTTTATAGAACTTCCTTCCATAAACTCTCCGGAGCCTCCCTCTTGGCAGCCTCTTGTGATGTAGCAAAGCAAGAAATCCAGACATGGAAAGTTGCTCACAAAAAAAATAAAAAGAACTTGGAAACCAAGGGAGAAAGACATCGTTTTACAGGAGAACTTCACACTGAAGGCTACGCAACGAATGTTCTTCCGTTTCAAAGGTTAATGTTGTAGGGAGAAATGAAAGGGCGGTTTCCAGGAGATGGGCTCCTGAGGAGGAGGATTTTCCATGGTGCATGGCACTGCGTCCTGCCCGGCTCCCCCGAAACTGCTGCCCTCTGCTGTCTTTGTTTACATGTGGTTTACATTTATGTCTACCCCATAAACCACAAGTGTTTCTCCACTCCAAATTTATCAACACTTTTCCTTCATACCAGGGGTGCTTTAGTATAAAAAGAATTCGCTAGTGCAGCTCTGTGATTCTAAACCCCCATTGAATGCCCCGTCCTAGCTCTGTTTGCTCCATTTTGTCTCATTGCTTTGCATCCTATTTCCAAGTTTCTAATCCTTCATCTATCCTGGGTGGATCTCAAGCACTTAAAGAATGAGCTTTAGAAGTCCATTGTTACCAGGCCTCTGAGAGGCGTAACTTAAAACTGCCAATTAGAGTCGAGCTGGGAAAACTGAGGCTCGGGGCTCTGAGCAAGCCAGGCTCCAAACCAGCCCAGACTTTGCGTCTGAATGTCACGCTGACATGGTGGTCTCATGACTGTGGGGACAGAGACTGTGTTCTTCCCAGAACCTCTGGGCCTATAAAGATCAATCTCTTTTCCCTCCTGTAACCACCTTCCTTAAAAGAGGAAATCCTGAGAAACCATCCTTCCCCACGTCTTGACTCTTGGCCCACATCTTTCCACACTGGGGCTGCAGAAACACATCCCAAACCCAAACACCGAAGCGGGATGTGACCCTCCTGCAGAAGGCAGTGCTGTGGCAAAGGAGGTACCGAGGACCCTCACAAGGCTGGGTTCCTCTGTCCTCCGCATGCTCCTGCGTTCCCTCCTTCCCAGGGGTGAGATTCCAACGGGGGGCATGAAAGCACTTCATTAGGGAGCCAGATTGTAAAAAGAGCCCTTCCCTTGGAAACCCGTCCCTCAGCTTGGCGTGGGAGAGGTTTAGGTAAGAATGTGCGGACCGTGCAAAGGAAGGTCATGGAGAAAAGTGCCTGCAATGGATGGGCCACCGAGCCCATTCCCTTAAGTTGGACCACGCTCTCCTTTTGAGCCCACTGGAAAGTAGAAGATCCCTGATTTCAAAGACAAAGCTGCCTTCCCCCTTTCCCACTTGGCTATCTTCATTTCCCCAAGCATTCCAGTCCCTTCTTTCATGTCTATGCATCTATGACACCGTAGCTCGGACTAGAGGAGACATCCTGCGGGGTGGACGGACTGTCTCAGCAGCTCTGGTTCTGGAAGGCGGGGGTTGCAGCTGGGGTTACCCTGGACACAGGAGCAGAGCTGGAGGCCGGCTGGGCACCCTGCAAGCGGCAGTAAAGCGTCTCCAGAGTGGCAGGCGGCTGCGGGAGACGCCGGGCC